ATATACTATGTTTTTGTTTGAGTTGCAATGGTGGAAAACATGTAACTAGTTTTTATTGTGTTCTGTGAATCTGGTTTACAATTTTCTTCCTGTTTCTCTGATGTAGAATTCTGAGCAGTTATTGCATGATATTTTGTAAATGGCTAGTGTTTGATATTTGTCATGTTTAAATAAATAAGATCTGTTTACACTCAATGTGAATTACATTGACTTTTCCAATATTTGTTATTTATTTAGCACTCAACAGGCAGTAAAACTCTTATAATCAACAAAAAACACTATCACATTCCTCACTGCAAGAAACATTCCATGTGTTATAAATGCAAACACTGGTTCAGTCATTTACTTTATACTGTATAAGTATATATGAATGATCCAGCAGTGACCAATATTGAGAAAACATTTTTCCATAGCATGTTTACCAACTTTGTTTCAAATTAAATTAGTACTACATTTCTCTTACGTGATGTGGCCTTTAATATGCTAAATGTCAGAGGATGGATGTTGACTGATTATATTTCTAATTGTAATGAAAATAAACTAATTTAAATAAACTATCACCTCAAATAAATGATAACCCCACCCTCTTTTGTTGTAACCAGTTTATACGTAGGCAAGACATCTTTTTTTGATAGCTTTTCTCTGATAAAATTATTGGCAACAAAAACTATTAATTCAAATACTGGACAAACATTTTGTTACTTAAATGTTTATTCTGTAAGTTTGAGCTTTGAAAATTTTTCATAATAGTGTGTCTCACACTATTTTATTTAGATTAAAGTACATATAGAGCCATACAGTATCTAATTTGGTAATCATTTAATATCGTACTGATGCTTAAGTACATCACTAACAGTACAATGTAAAGATACAAGGTGTCCATGTTATTACATTTACTGCATGATACTTGTAGTTTTGCCTCTATGACTGCAGTAAATATTGTGATAAAATTAAAATATCATTAATGTTTTGATTGGCAATTTTCCAGATTTTACTTGGAAAGTTTTCACTATGACTGTCGCTTTGGCCCATAACTAAAAATGTAGTCACAGATGTTATTAAATACATTTAATTGGCAAAAGTATTGACTCTGTTATTCACAACAAGATTGGGATGTGTTTTGTGTTATTTTTCTTCATAAAATTTTGCATAATACTCTTAAATAAAGTAATAGTAGAGCAGAATTCATGTAATGCGAATGAATTGCATTACAGAAAAGATAAGATGACATTTATTTGTAAAATCTTTAATCAGAGTGTGGATTAGATTATTTCTCAAAGAACTTTGCAGTTGCTATTGTATACATGTGTATTTTTGTCTTCATCCTCAATGAAGTAAGTAAGATCACTTTTCCTAAAATGCTCAGGTTTTTGAGTTTCTTTAGTTGACTAGTATGTAAGATTAATTAGTTATTGTAATAACCATATGCATCATGAGAGGTTGTACAATTGTTCTTAACATTTTTATCATAATTTCAAGAGAAACCTCATCAGGAAAAACATTTTATATAATAACTGCTGATACCTGTTAAAATGCTGTCATGTGTGAGAAGCAGAAAAGTGCTTTATACATGATTTAACATGTTATTTGTTAGAGAATATTTATGAATTTTAATTTGTTACATCAATATGGGTATTTTGAGAAATGATGTACTGGTTGCCCACATTCAATCATGATTTTGGGATGGGTTAGGCATGTATAACTTATACTAAAATAATAATAATTAACTGTTGCTTATAAATTAGACTAATAAAAATGAGTCATAAAATGACAAATTCAGGTAAACCTTTTCATCCAAAACTTAAAAAAGCTCAAAATTTATAACAAATGTTACACCCTTTAGTATTAATGTGATTCCAAACTGACAGTGACATTGTTTAGTTCTGTCACTTTGAGAAATAGAGGTAGAATTAAATCACAGTTAAATAAGTTGTAAAAAACCCTGATCTCCAGTAAATTTAAAAGCACAAAGGAAACGTTATTAAAATTGACATCAGATGTTTTTAAGTAAAATTCTTCTTAATTTTTTTTTAGGTAACAATTAGGTTTGTACAGCTGGACATGAAAACACGAATCTTTGCAAGTCTTTGTAGTTTTATTGAACTGAGAATTCAAAGTTGTCATATATATTGTGTACAATTGTATGAGAAATATTATTAAATTGTGAAAAACAGCCTTAGAAGAAAAGCTTATATTTAAGCTGATTAACTAAAAAGAAGGCAAAATTCTAAGAAGCATCGAGGTAAAGATAAGTAAATACTTATGATTTTTCATTTGATCTATGGAAGATAATAATCATAATTTTAAAGAATCTTACTTCTGCTTAAAGCACATTTGTGTGAATTGTACAAGTGGCAGAGTTATTATGGCAGACAAAAATAACTTAGAGAAGTTACCAGTGTTCGGAGAGCAAGAAAGGGTTATGTACTAAGGACTTGTCAGTACTTTCAGCCTTTTGTTTAAAAGAAAATAGAAGATAAGCTCATGTTTTTCAACTTTTTATAGTGTGATGAAGTATCAGAAATCACCTCTGCCCTGTCTTCATTAACCGTTCACTGTATGAAGGAGACAGTAATAGGTAATTACCTTTCATTATATCTTGTTTTCTAGCTTAAAACTCAGGGAAAAAATCCAAAACTTGAGCAAGGGGATGCAAACATTGCAAGAAAAGAAATAAATGATGATACAAAGATGGTGGGATCAGGAGATTCAAGCAGTAGTAGTTCAATAGAAGAGGGGGAGCTTGAAGACACAAATTCTGAGTTATCGGGTTCAGAAAACTCAGAGACTGAAAGTGATATAACTAAATCTGTTTCTGAGGATGAGGGTGAGTTATTGCAAACTATCAGATTTTAAAGTTCCTACTTTATTATTCAATTAAAAATAAATATGTTGATTGGGAAGCTTTTTTTTCTTCTGTTGCAGTGATAGTTAAATTCAACATTTTTAAAAGATGAAATAACTTGTTAAAGACTATGTTAAAGAAGAATAATCAATATTATTTTAAACTTTTATTATAATCTCACTGTTGGGATGAAATTTGAACACTAACTTCTTTACCATCTACAATTTTTTTATGATTTATGGTTTGAATATTAACTTTTATTTTATATCAAAAATGGATCTGCTCTTTCTGTTGAGAATAAAAAAAATTAAGAGAGAGAGAGCTTATGTTTTAATGATAACTGAAGAAAACACAAGTTCAGTATACAGGACTAATTTTGCTGAAAAATTTGCTCAATCAGTAAGGAAACTTTCTGGTATGTTTTGAGTCCTGTTTTTAAGTTCTTTACTTCAAAAATATAATTATATCTGGAACTCTGTAGGTCAGTTAAAGTCAAATTCTCACAAGAGGAGCTTGAACAGCAGTGATTTTATGTGAGAGATTATTCCAACATCGAAAATCTTAATTGTTTTTTTTTATTTATTTATTCACCTCTCATGCTGTACTCACAGATTTGAGGTGGCTTAATAACTATGTTTACATCTTACTGCTATAGTCGTCCTGGAATGTAGACCTACATCTTGAAAAAGACTATATTCATAAATTTAGGATATAACTGTACCTCTGTCAAGATTTTTTTTTTTCAGTATTAGTACGATAGTTTGAAAAAATGCTTTTATGCAAGATAAAATATAACCATTATAAAAAAGTGTAAGTAATTTATAAAATATAGTCAGTGCAAATATTCTGTGAAAATTGAAGATTGTGTAATAAAATATTAATAATAAATTATGTTTCATTCAATTTAGAACAGTGTGATTCATTGCCACCTTGTATACGACTAATAGTAGTTAACTCAGAAAATTTACTCGAAGGAAGCCTTTTGATGGTAACATGTACTGGAGCAACAGTTGGTCGAGAAGAGAAAAATGGTCTTTGTATTCCAGATTCTTCTGTTAGTAAGGTGAGATTTCTTTATATAATGTATGCATGGTTTAAAGAGCATATGACAAAGTAATTTATTATGTTATAATCTAAGTGTAACATCATGCTAACCAAATGAGATGATTTTGTGACTGCATATTATATATAATCTCCAGATTTATTCTATAAATGTGGATGCATAACATTTAACTTCTAATTTATTATTAGCTTGTAAATTCAACACAATTCTGCAATCTTAGAAATATATGGGGTTAGAATAAATAAACGATTTAGTATTTAAAAAATCCTTAACCTAATTCTGATTTTTTGTAATATAAGTGAAAATTGTATGGAAAAATTATTCTTTACCAACTTGACCCGAGACCC